TTTGGAACAATAGTGTTTTTTTAAAGCAGGTGGGGACCATGGACTGTGACAAGGAGGAGTTAAAGATGTCCGTAAACACTGTGGTCAGCTGGGCTGCACATGTCTTCAGAATGCAAGGTGGTATCCCATCAGGCCCTGCAGCCTTACGGATTTTCACCCTGCTCAGAGTCTTCTGCACGTCCTGCTCTGAGAGTTTCAGAACAAACTCGCCCTGCACACTTGGGGTCTTCTCAGCATTGCCCGTGTACAGAGCATCAAAGCGGGCATAGAAATGGTTCAGCTCGTCAGGCAGGGATGCGTTGTTCGTGTCAATCTCCTGGCTGCAGCCCTTGTAGCTTAATTTAGCCATTTAAGGCTAAAGCTTATTATTTATTATTCTTTTATTTGTGTTATTTCATTTCTTTTTATATCACACGAAGTAGCAGAAACATTTTCTAGCAAATAAAAGTATTTCTAGATAATAATACATGAAGATGAATTTGGAAATTCTTAATTAAATTAACTTTCTATATAAAGTATATATTTAATATAGCATATTAGAAATTACCAGGATGGAGATGATCACTAATGATCAATCACGTATTGATGTAATTGTGTATAAATGTTTTTGAATCCAAAATTGTAACCCTCATACCAAAAGAGTGTGAGACCAGTTTATTAAAGTCTGTCAAAAATAAAAGAGCCGTTCTCTAACATATTCAAATAACTCAGTTTTATATCTGTGACATTTTATTTTCAAATGGCTACATAGCCATAATTATGAGGTAATGTCTGCTGGAATTAAATCTGAGCAGAAAGCACTACATTTATTCCAATCTGTCAACTTTTCGGCACAATAAAGTCAGATAAGTACATATATACTGGAATTCATTTATTACAAAACATATTGGAATTCAAAATTACAATAATTCCCTTTTCATTTTTACTGTAAATAAACCAAGTACTGAAAATCAATGTTTATTAATTATATTAATTCGTAACTAATGTTACTAATTTCAGTACTCATTTGTTTTGGATTCTCTACCTACAACCAGCAACTCGAAGACCCAACACCACAAAAAAAAGTTTATTTCCCCAAGCTGTGATTATGTGACGCTTTACTGGGTGCTACTGGGTTTTGAAAGCAAGGTAAGTGACCTTTCAGGTGCTTCCTGAAGTTCTCATCTCTCAGCCCATAGATAACAGGGCTTAATGTTCTGGGAATTATGTAAACTAAGAAATATCGGGTATAGTGGAGATCCAGGAGCATTTCTGGCGGCAGACTTCAGAAGAAGTTTTCAGTGAAGGGAGCGATGAAGGTCAGCATGGCCAGCAGGAGCTGGAGCCCGTGGAGCAGGATGGTGTTTCGGGCCTTTTTAGCAGAGGTCTTCTCAGAGGAGCTGGCCGACCTGGCTGCGAACATGATCCGCAGATAGGTGCACACTATGACCAGCCACACCACTGAAAAATACAAGATCTTTAGATACAGTCTTTTGTCAAATTGATAGGAAAGCCTCAATAAAGTCTCACGGAGGCAGTAAATGGATGTGCTGAAGAAACTGGTCTGCTCTACTGCCAGGACTATAAAGAGGTCTGTGATCGGGGGAATAAAACCAATGAACCAGATAACTCCGATGGCGATGTAGGTCCTCTGCAGACTGCAGATCTGGGAGTGGCGCAGGGGGTAGCAGATAGCGATGTATCGCTCCAGACACATCACAGCCAGGTTTAAAGGAGTGTTCAGAGTGGTGTTGCATGCGAAAATGACCAAGGCATAGCAAACAGGCACAAGCATGAAGGTCTTCACCTCATTCCAAATGTGCAAAGTCAATGCTACGCTCAGCTCAAACACATCATTAATAACCAAATGAACAAAGAGCACATAACGGGAATTCTCATAAAATATAGAATGCCTAAAATATGTAAATATCAGCATTCCATTCATGATGTTTGTGACTATATACATTGCAATAGTGACAGTAGCTTTAGCAATGGCATTTGGCTGCATAGGAATGTAATTTTTAAAATAAGCTACATCAATGCCCCCAACGTCTCCAGAAGTATTCATTTTGTCAGCTTTGCTGGATCTGTACAAAAATAAAAGGAATTAGTGTAATATTTAATGATTCATGTCATAAAAGCTTTATTGAGTTGCAATGTACAAAAATGTCTTTTTACTTTTGCCTTGGAGCTCCTGACACAACACTGGAAGGCCAGAGGAGCAACAAGATTATTCACCAAATACTATTCATGTGTAACTACAATTACTGCACAGACATAAAACCACACACAGCACACAATTCATGTGGTGCAATTAGAAAGCAGAGTTGTGAAACTTGGCTTTTCATGTCTCCTGTCTGAAGGAAGACTACTTTAGTGTGTGAAAAGACCATGATTTTCCCTGGAAAGCTACAGAGGACAGGAGACAGTGTCATTGTATATAATCAGAACATTTGAGAAATTGCACAAATCATGCTCTTATAGCGCTATTGCCTGTCTTAAGCCCATTTCCCAGCCGTTGCCAGACTCACACTCACTCCTGGTCCTCACCTCCCGCAGGCTGCTCTGACAGAGGGGCAGGGGAGCTGGATTATATCAAGGGTTTCTCTGCTGCTGCTCCCCTGCGCTGTGATGTCATCTATGACCAGAATGTCACAGGGGAGCTCTGGGATGAGCAAAAGGTTAATGAGGCCGGAGTGGATCATGAGACAGATAATTGATCAGGCTGGAATGGCAATCTGAGTATTCGGCACCCTTAAGACTTTCAAACAGATTTTGGTGGTTGTTGCTAATAATTAGTTGCACAGTTAGATGGGCACACAGAGACCAGGCACTATGACATTTTCTACACGTCTGTGGAGACAAGCTGGCGCAGTGCAGCCTGTGACAGAGGAAGACAAGAGGTGTTGCTGAGCTCTTCATAATGAGTCAGAGCAGAGTTGCACAGAGGAACTGTTATTGACAGTTTTGTTGTTACACAGGCTTCTCTGTTCAATGTAAATAAATGTCTAATGGTTGATTTTCCTTTCTTATGTCCAAAAATACTTTTCAGGACTGGAATCCTGTTCTTCAGATTTCCAAAGCTGCACGTTAGGAGAGTGATGGTACTGTTTGCAGAGGAGAGAGCCGACCTGACAGGAACAGCTGCTCAGGATCATCGCTCCTCTCCACACTACCTGTTACTGAGAAACACAACAACACTGAAATCACGATTAATTCTGATAAATCAAATGCTTCTTTCGTAAAATCATCCTTGACAAATACTCTTACTTTTGCTTGGATTACAGCTGGATTTAAATGTTCACTTTTTAAAGATATTTATTGATGAATGATTAATAAAATCAAAGCTAAGCTTGAGGAATTTAACTCTTCACCACTGTCCACTTCATCATCTTTCCTATGAATGTCCTTCTAAAACTGATTTATCTTTATCAGTAGCTTCCTTGCTATTGTTCTTCATCTTTGGAATTTTAGACAGATTGATTTCTAAGTTCCAAGTGGTGTAAAGAAACAAATAATTAAAAATTCAATCTTGCTGAAACCAGGAGAATTGGAGTGTGGTTCCCCCTAACTTCCACTTATATTACTAGTCTATTCAGTTTTACAAACTGCTGACTTTGGATACCCAGGATACACAGGAATCCTGGTGGATGGAAATGGCTTTAATTTATTACCATTCGCACATGTTTACTATTAATTATATAAATAATTTGAGGGCTATAGGAGATTTGGCTATTTCTGTTGTTGTTCTTAATAACTGTCACGCCCTCCATATCTGTTCGGTCCTGCTCCCAGTTTCCCTGTGCTTTACTCATTCTTCCGGTGTGTCTTGTTGTCTGGGGCTTTATATTTCTGGGTCTCCCTCTCCTCCTCGCTCGGCATTGGGATCGGTTGTCGAGAGGCTCACCTCACCAGGTCGCCCCACGTCTGCTAACTGAGGGCTTGTGTCTCGTCCCCGACTCCACCCGATACCATCAGCCCGGACTGAACCCTCTCGTTTGCTCCGTTCCTGCAGCTACACAGAGGGTCCTCCTGTCTCGCTGGTCTCTCTCCACGGCTAGCCCCCAGCTTCCGTGACAGAATGCCGAGTCTGTACTGGAACCCGTGAGCGGTCTCCTGGCCACCCTGGCTTCTGTTCCTTTCTCCCTTTCCTTCTTTCCTGGCTTTTGTTTTTCTGGCTGCCCTGGCTTCTGGTCTCTCTTGTCCTTTTTCCTGGCTTCTTGTTTCCCCTCGCTTTTATTTTTTGTGACAACAAAAGAAATATTTGGTCAAATCTGGCTCCTCTTTTGTTATTTACAAAGGGCCACTTCAATAAGAAAGTGTTTATAATTGCAGTTTTCTCTACAGACGGGTAGGAAAGGAGGTAGAGAGAGGGTAAGAAGAAAAGAAGAAGGGAGGAAAGGAAGAGAGCAAGGGAACGGGGAAAGAGAGTGAAAGGAGGTAAATGAAAAGCTCAAAGTGTGAAGAGGACAACACGAATGAAGGTATTGGACTGGAAGAGCTGAACGAGTTGATCTGGTTCTGTTGTGTGTAGAGACGTGGTGAATACAGTATGGTTGCAGTGTAGGGTTTTTTTGGGGGGGACCCCCTGTTCTGTATGTTTCCAATGTTTTAAATTCAGTTGGTTAATATCAGTTGGTCTTGTTGATTAAGGGTGAGAAGTGACAGGAGGATTGATTGAGTGATGTAGCGATTTGCTAATGTACTGAAAAATATATTTTTCCAATAAATTAAAATATTTTTAATAAATAAAAAACTATAATAAAAACTAATATTTCCCAATATTACATTCATATTCAGTGTAAATATAGTAAATTATTTGTATATATTATGTAATATATTGTATAATAAAATTAAATATATAAAAAATAAATGTAATGATAAATGTTACTTAGGTTTACTTCTTATATTTACAGTTTATTTAAAGGCTTTACAGACATATGATACTATTTACATTTAACCATTTTTTAAAATTAATTACTACATTGAATTTTGGTTCATTTCTGTCATGTCCTACTTTCTTTTTTATTGTGATGTTTTAATTAATACAAATGGAAGGAAAACAGAGAATGATGAGTTATGGATTAACAGCCAGAACAGGGCAGGTCGCTAAGCAAGCAAGAAGGAACAGGAGGTGACAGAAGATACACAGAACAGCACATCTGCACGGACCACTGACTGGCTTTCTGTCACAATCTGTTAAAGACACTGGTGTGAAATTCACAAATCACAGAACCTGGTAACTGCTTAGTACACCCTCACTTGCTGAAGGAAAAAAATAATAATTTATTTTGTAAAGTATTTGGTTGCAGGTACAAGAATCTGTGCCTCTGAAAATGTGATTTAGACTTGTTTTCTTCAATAGCTGCAATACTAGTTAAATGTAGGAGGGTTTCCAGTTTCCACTGTTGATTGAAAACCTCCCGAAGGGCAAAAGAGGTTTGTTTGTATCCCATTCTGAGAGCACATGCTAAAAACTGACCAGTTTTACTTCCTACAGACATAAAACATTTCCAGGAAATACACATTCGGAGCAACAATTAATGAAGGGAAGGATACAGCCGGAGGTTTTTTGAATAATAAAATATGTACATTTTTATTTTTTTACAATGGTATGTCAAAGAATGTTAGAGACTAAATTAATAGTACTTGAGAGCAATGCTGTCTACCAATGTTTTTTAAGTGTTTATTGACTGGGAGCTGAACTATTTCATTCAGATATCATGTCTGTGAGGAGTCATTGATGAGAACGTTTGTTCTCTGTCTTTATCTTCCCGATGCTGCAGGTGAAGCACCTGCTCCAGTATTTCCTGAACCGTTCGTCCCTAAACCCGTAGATCATGGGGCTCAGAAACCTGGGAATGATGTACACCAGCAGGAAGTTGACATAGCGAATTTCCAGGATCTTTCCAGGGAAAAGCAGCAGCAGGAATGCCTGCATGGAGGGCATGACGAAGGTGAGCATGCAGAGCAGGAGCTGCAGGCCGTGCAGCAGGACGGTGTTCCGGGCCTTCCTCGCCGACGCCCGGTCTGTGGAGGCAGCCCTGGCCGCCAGCACGATCCTGACATACGTGTACACCAGGGTGAGGAACACGAAGGAGAAGTAGGTGGCGTCGAAGGCACAGTTTTTGTAATATATGCGCGGGTCCCTGAAGAGCAGGGAGTGGTCGCAGAAGATCCAGGAGAGGAAGAAGTCGGGCCGCTCCACCGCCAGGGTGATGAGCAGGTCGGAGAGTGGCGGCGCAGCCCCGAGCAGCAGCACGAGTCCCAGCAGGAGGAGCGTCCGGCGGAGGGTGCAGATGTGCTGGTAGTGCAGCGCGTGGCAGATGGCGACGTAGCGCTCGATGGCCATGCCAGCCAGGATCAGTGGGGTGTTCCTGGTGGTCAGCACGGCGCACATGACCAGGACGCAGCAGCCGGATGCCTGGACTTTGTAGAAGACGTAACTGACGACGTACAGCGCGGTCAGCAGCGTCAGCTGAATGGCGTCGTTGACGACCATGGAGATGAAGAGGATGTAGCGGGGGTCTTCGGAGAAGAGGGGGTGCCTCAGGAAGGTGTGCACCATGGTGCCGTTCGTCAGGCTCAGGGTCAGCCACACCAGCACCGCGACCACGTTCTTTACCAGCGCGGCTGCGAACGTGTCCTTCACGGGCGCTTGGGAGATAAAGGAGGAGTCAAGGGGGCTGAGCGTGGAGTTCATGGCATCGGTCCTCTCGTCTGGAAAACCGAGAAGGAAAAATGCAAGGCCTTTTAAAAGCAAATCACGTGTAATTACCACTGTGAAGGGCAGTGTGTGCCCGAGCTCAGCTCTACTGCCTCACACATTCCAAGCCAGCCTTCAGCAGCAGGGATTACAGGTGTGAAGGCAACAGGTTAGAGACACAACCAGATGATCAGCTGTTCACTCAGAAAATAAAATGTACTAAAGCAACAAATCAAAACCTGTAGGATGGCAGCAGGATTTTCTCCTTCTAGGAATACATCAATATCAGTGACTGAGAGTGTTTGTTGTTCAAGTAGTGTAACTCTAATAAAGTGCAGGTGTTATCTTGTCTAATAGCATATACTGTACACTAGCATCACAGAAAAATATCCTGATACTGTATTTTATACAAAGATGCTCAGTTCTGGAAATACTGTGCTTCTTCCTCTTCTTCTTTCCTTTCCTGCATAGATTTAACCTCTGCTTGTCTCTGTACATTCCTTTCCATACAGTGCTGATGAACACATCTGGGAAAAGCCCTTGTTTAACTCTGTCATTAACTCCATTGTAATCTGGGTATAATTTTTGTGGACAAGATAACAGCTGGGCAAAATTGTCCCAGCAAACCCCTTCCCTCCACTTACTCTGCCAGGACCTATGCGGCAGTTTTCTCTGCACAGAGTATGAGGGAATTACTGCCTGACACAACCGTCACATGTTGGAGCAAATAGAAAAAGTCTAAACCAGTATAAAGTGTCACCTTTTCAAGTTTGCATAAGTCTATTTACTTTTGTTCAGTCTCTGTGTATTGTAGATATTGAACTATAAAAGGAATTATATTTAATTATATTTAGTTGAATTATATTTAAAACTGTAGGTTTTTAAATGAAGTATTTTTTTTGTTGATTATTGGCTAGAACTGGCCAATGTAATAAGGCTGATCTTTGTAATACTCTTTGATATTTTTCTGTCTCTATCCTTAAACTATTGAAATACATTTTTTCCAATAATGTATTGAAATGTGTGTTAATGGTCATTTTTATTGTGATTTTTTAGATAATTATTTTTTGCCTTAATCACACATTATTTAAAAATATATATATACAAATATATTTGACTAAATAAAATACAAAAAATTTCAGCTCAGTAAAATATATCTTGCCATTCAGTGTCTGAACATGTGATGTCTCTCTCATGTGAAGTCTTCCTGTATGTTTTGCACACAGAGAGAAAATAGCAAGAGATCACTTACCTCTTCTTGGTGATATTTTCAAGAGCATATTGGTGGGGTGAAACCCAAGTCTTATAAGCATCTTCCAATGTGGTTAATTGATTGTGATGTCATGGCAGATGTCAAAGCCAACTCAGAGTAACGAGTATCTAGAGACTTGTTTTCTAAGGAACCACAGGGGGCACTGTGCATTTACACTAGGAAAACTCATTTACCACATCTGTCAATATTAAATGCATGATTTAGCTGCACTGACAGTTGTGCCATTCTGTAGTTGAATTGTGAGATAGTTTAAAAATGCTGATAAAGAGTTGAGAATCATATGATATGATGAAGATCAGCAAACACACACAGATAAAACATAAAATAAATACAAATATACATCATAAAACCAATAGTAGACAGAATCCACCCCACACATCTTCACATACCATCCTAAAACACACACCAGTAACAAAATAAAAAATAGTGAGATTTGACAGAATAACAATAAGCTATGCAAAAGGTGAAATGCAGAGTATATGCATCTCAGCCTCCAGATGGGTGCTGTTACAGAATCTGGCAGTCCTTGTCTTGATGACCCAGAGGAGAAGAGAGCAAACAAAGGCTGGTCAGGGTGGGAAGATTCAGCAAGGATCTAGAAACCACTGCATTTCAGTCTAGAGAGGTAGAGTGAGTGAACAGAGATATAGTGGCCTCCTACAGCTGCTTCTTGTCCTGGGAAGAAGTGTTGCCAAACCACTCAGAGATGGAGGTCAAAACAGTGACAGATCTGTATAAGGGGGTCATTGCATCCTGTGACACTGAAAACTTCTTTAACTGTCTCAGCAAGAACAGCCTCTGCTGAGCTCTCGTGACCATGATAGAATTGTTGACCTCCTATTTTAGGGTGTAGGAGATGGTGGTGCCTAAGAACATCAAATTCTCCAGCACCTCTACAGCTTAACCTAATGAATTGTGGTGAGAATGCTCCCTTGATTCACCTTAAGACTCACTGTTGTGAGTCGCAATTGTTGCAATGGGGGCTAACATTAATAATAAAGCTTTTAAATAATTAAAACAGTACAAGTGCTGTACTAGAAAAATATAGGAAAATATCTGATGTAACAAATGATCAGTTTTCTCAGGTGTTAGATAACACTGTTGAAGCAGCAAACGAAATTCAAAAAGGTTGAGATAAAATTCAGTACTGGTATATGTTGACGTCATTTATGCCTTCTACACACTGTGGGAAGCTACAAAATAGCAAAAAACGTATGTTAGAACACATAAATATATATTATTTGAAATGAAGAATTTAAATCAAGGGATGTTACAGTATGTTCAAATTGTACAATGCTCCAGTCAGGTCTCATTTAGTATATTGATTACAGAAGAGACGTTGCTACTCTGGGATCATTGCAGAGAATAGAAACTAGACGCCTTCTGCCTGAAAGAAATGCATGACACTTACATACTAAAAGACCTGAGCCTTTTCAGTCTTGAACAGAGAAGACTGATAGATGACCTGATCCAGGATTTCAAAATCCTCAAGAAAATTAAGAAAGGCAACCCACTGGTCTCCTACAGACCACTAGTGAAACATGAACACACTGGTGTAAACTACATACTGCATACCTGTGCAGTTTTAAAACAGGACAGAAGACATGTCTTTAAGCAAGGGGCTGTGGGGTTGTAGATTAAACTGATTTTAATATGTCATTCTGGATATTAAAGGAAACATTACAAGTCAGACATGCAAACAGAAGGCCCTTTGAAACCTAAGGTTCAGGTTATGATTTGCATGTTGTAGCCTCTTTCAACATAACTGATCTTTACTACTTTGGGAATCATTAAAATGAACTTCCCAGCTTCTCCACTAACCAAGAAACTGTGCTCCCCTCAACTGCTGACTGATGACAAAGTGATGAACTGTCCAGGTCCTTCCCTATATTTAATATTTACTGTCAAACAAAAAAATACTCAAGAGAGATGGGTTTTATTTAAGATGTCAGATTTTCATAGACACACAAAACAGGACTTATAATGTTTAATCTTACTGTAAAGTACTGTAATAAAAACATATTCAGCAGGTACTGTATTTCTTTACATATTTAAAATAAGGAAAATAAGTAAGACGCTCTAAATAAGCAGACAAATTGGCTGATTTTCAAACTAATGTCACGAACACGGACTGAAATCCGTGTCAGATCTTGCAGTAGACCGTATGCGATGCGGTAAAAGCTGGAGAAAACAGGAGGCGTGGTAAAAGGGAACACACAGGGGTTTAATAGTGCACGAAATAATAGTGACAGTCCGTGAGACAGTGTACGGGGAAGACAAAACGGCATCCAAATCCAAACGGGTCCAAGGGCAGGTCAAAGCACAGTCCGAGAGTCCATCAACAAGGAATCCATCCTGGGACGCGACACAGTTAAAATCGCCGGGAGGGGGGAGCACACGGACAGACAAAACATGGAGGTCCAAGGGTGACGGGGCGTGGTCCTCCAGACCCCTGGCTCAGGAAGCGGGAGGTGTCGGGGATGAGGCCTGTGCCCTCAGGAGACGGCCGTAGGGTTTCCTGGTGCTAAGCGGGCCTCGCGACATCTTACCCTAATGATGAGCCCCGAGGACTGGAGGAGCTGGTCTTTAAATAATAACGCTAAAAGGGTACACCTGGAGAGCTTAATCACAAGGACAATAATGGGAGCAGTGGAGCGCCCTCTAGGGAGGGATGTCAGGCGTGACAGTAAAGTTAAATCTTACAAAATGAAAGATCAGATACCTATTATAGTAAGAATATCAGCAGAACAAGTTCTTTAGAAAACCTTTTTGAAATCTAAAATGTAATTGCTTAGATCAGACTTTTTCATTATATATGTAATAAATATCTTATGAAGGAAGTTTTGTTTTATTTTTGAAAGTGAAAATCAATTGATTATGTTAACGTCGTATTGCTTCTAGTGATCCAGCCAGACTGCACAGGCCCTTGCTGGCTACTGTGTGTTTCCAGGTGTGACTCCTCTCTCCTGGTGCTCTCTCACTGCTGGGACCCTGCATTGACCACAGATGATATACCTGCTCAGGTATCTCCTGAACTTCTCATCTCGCACCCCGTAAATAATGGGGCTCAGGCACCTGGGCAGGATATAGATTATCAAGTAGGTGCTGTAGCGGATTGCTAGAGATGTGTCCCGGGACAAACATGAGCAACACAAATTCCACGGAGGGGTTGATGTAGGACAGCAGACACATGAGTAGCTGGACCCCATGCAGCAGGATAGTTTTTCTCGCCCGTTTAGCACCCAGCTTGTCAGCAGAGAGCGCCCTGGCTGCAAACAGCACCCGCAGGTACGTGTACACCAGGGTGAGGAACACAAACAGGAAGTACAGAATGTCAAATGCTTGTCTTTTATAGGTCAGACTTGGGTCTTTGAAAACATTCTGGCGGAGACAGAAGACAGCAGAGTGGAAAAAGCTGTTGGGTTCCGTTGCCAAGGTGACGAAGAGTTCTGTGATGTCCGGGGTGATGCCCACCACCCAGATGAGGCCAATGAGGATGTAGGTGCGGCGCACAGTGCAGATCTGGGAGTGTGGCAGGGGGTGGCAGACGGCGATGTAGCGCTCGATGGCCATGCCTGCCAGGTTCAGAGGGGTGCTGCTCGTGGTGAAGACAGCAAGGAGCGTAAAAACAGCGCAGAAGGACACATTTATCTTATAGGAGATGTAACTCAGCACGTGTAACATAATGGTGATAGTCAGCTGCACTGCATCGTTGATGACCATGTGAATGAACAGGATATAACGCGGATCCTCGTAAAATGTCTGGTTTCTGAGGAATGTGACTAAAATACACCCACTGATGTAGCTGAGAATGAGCCATACCAGCACAGCAATGAAGTTTTTAGTGAAGGCGATGGGCAAAGGGTCTCTAACTGGGGCAGCCGAGTTAATCTTGTACGTCGTGTCAAATGGGTCTGTTGTGGAGTTCATATCTGGGGAAACAATTTTATCATTAGAAATGAAATAAAAATCCCAATATAAGGACATAATAAATCCTCCAAACACAGACAAGCCACTTCTTCCATCTAGTTCTTTGGTAGCTAGTAGCTAACTGATCTGAGGATCCAGATGTTTCTTGAAGGAAGCCAGGTCATCGGCTTCGATAGCATGGCAAATGTATCACCATGACATTATAAAACGGAGCACACAATTAATTTGGTGAAATTAGCAGAGAATGGTCATATGAAAAACAATGCATAACATCTCCTATCTAAACAAAGTATCAGCTTACTGACAAGCTATACAAGAATGGTAACAGTCCCATTGTATATAATCAGACCATGTGAAAAATACTTATAAATTCCCCAAATTGTACTATTACACTACACTAGAAACATGTGTACTTGCTGTTTTCTGTGAGGTATTGTTGCTCATGCATTATAGCTCAGCTCCCTGTCTAAAGCCCATTTTCCAGCCATTGCCAGACTCACACTCACTCCTGGTCCTTACCTCCCGCAGGCTGCTCTGACAGAGGGGCAGGGGAGCCGGATTATATCAAGGGTTTCTCTGCTTCTGCTCCCCTGTGCTGTGATGTCATCTATGACCAGAAGGTCATAGGGGAGCTCTGGGATGAGCAAAAGTTTAATGAGGCCAGAGTGGATCATGAGACAGATAATTGATCAGGCTGGAATGGCAATCTGAGTATTCGACACCCTTAGGACTTTTAAACAAATGTTGGTACCAGTGAATGTGGTTGTTGCTAATAATTAGTTGCACAATCAAATGGGCACACAGAGACCAGGCACTTTGACATTTTCTACACGTCTGTGGAGACAAGCTGGCGCAGTGTAGCCTGTGACAGAGGAAGACAAGAGGTGTTGCTGAGCTCTTCATAATGAGTCAGAGCAGAGATGCACAGAGGAACTGTTATTGACAATTTTGTGTCTGTGCTACACAGGCTTCTCTGTTTAACCACAAAGAAATGTCTAATGGTTGATTTTCCTTTCATTTATCCTTCAAAAATACTTTTCAGGGCTGGAATCCTGTTCTTCAGATTTCCGAAGCTGCACGTTAGGAGAGTGATGGTACTGTTTGCAGAGAAGAGAGCCGACCTAACAGGAACAGCTGCTCAGGATCATCGCTCCTCTCCACACTACCTGTTACTGAGAAACACAACAACACTGAAATAATGTTAGGTGTAGCTAAGGTTTACTTTTTATTATTTATAAAGTTTTATTTACACACAAGAAAGTCTTCACACACATATTGTATTACTTACTTATAAAACGTATTATACTAATAACTTTATAGTTAACCATTTTTTAAACTATTTACAACATTGAATTTGAGTTTATTTCAATCTTCTCCTTCTTTCTTAAGGGATTATTTATTATTATGTTGTTTTAATTAATGCAAACAGAAGAAAAAATACAAAATACTGGGTGTTTTACGTGTTAAGTATACCAGGGCCCTGGGAGCTCTGAACAAGAAGCAGATTCGGCTGTTGCTGTGTCAGGTTGCTGGTAAGGTTATGGAGGTGTTAAAGCAGTTCTGGCCAAACAGGAAAAAGCAAGAGACGGCTTACACTGCTACTACCCCACAAGGGGAATAGTTAGGGGACATATGGTTCCTGCACAGCAGAGAGTGTGGAGTCCGGACGACTCATCCGGTGACTGAGGCAGGGAAGAAGCACTTCAGTCATAATTCCACTACAAGTGGGAAGCAGCTGTTTGTATCTCGATTCTCCGAGTCCG